GCTTGTGACAGACCTGGCGAACCGAGCGTCTCGGGGGGTGTTTCTCCGTGCTGGGAAGCCTCTGCCCTCCGCTGGTTGTGGGTCTCCGGGCTGGGGAACCCGCCGCGCTTTCCCCGGGCTGTCGCTGACGCTGGCTGCGTTGGCACGGTGCTTGTGAACCTTCAGCCTACGGCAGAGGCTCTGACCTTGTTTCTTTGCGTGAGGCATCTAGCGCGCCTCCGCGTTTCCCTAGAGATGTAGGGAGTGAGTTGGGAAGTGGTGGAGGGATTGAATCTGAATCGCAGCTTTTTGTCTTAATATTTAGTTGTGAAGTTTCTCTTAATGCTGCTGCACAACAGGACCATTGCTGGGTGCAGTTGGGACAGTCAGGATGTGAATGTGATGTGCAGAATGAGCTTTATAAGAGTACAAATAGCAGTTATTATCTTCTTCTGTAGCAGTTACTGCAACACAGGAGGCTGTGTGGTTTATATAGAAAAAAGTGACATTTACTTGTGGCTGTGTTTGCAGACATTTGATATTGTAACATTTACTAGTGTTGATGCACTTTGGTTCTAGTATGAAGCCTGTAGTGCTGGACGTTTATAACAAGCAAAAAGATGTAAAGTTCTTTGAAATACTTCACATCCCAGTTTCTCAGCTTTCCTCTGTTGTCTGAATGTCAGGAGTCACAGCCATCCGTAAATGGGAAAGCAGTGGGGTTGTTCTGCACCTAAATTTCTACTGCTGTGGAAACCGTTTCTCCTGAAACAGCACCTGATTTTTTTTTACTTTTGTCACTATGGAGTGAATTATAATTTGGAATGTTTTCCATGCCTTTAGGCTGTGGTGCAAGGCCATTTTTGCTGGCTACAAACGTGGCCTGCGAAACCAGCGGGAGCACACTGCCCTCCTGAAGATTGAAGGTGTTTATGCCCGTCAGGAGACAGACTTCTACCTGGGCAAGAAGTGTGCCTACGTGTACAAAGCTAAAAAGTAAGTTGCTTTTTCTTGTTAACACCAAATTATCCAACTCCTGTGCCAGCTTTGGCAAACGCTGGGATGTGAGCAGCCTGTATGTGGTTAATTCAGATGAAATCAGGAGAGTGGTCAGTGGCTTGATACCCAGATGGAGATGGGTGACAAGTGGTGTCCTCAAGGGTCCGTGCTGGGACCAGTACTGTTTCGCATCTTCATCAGTCACACAGGCAATGGGCTGGAGGGCACCCTTGGCAAGTTTGCAGATGACACCAAGCTGAGTGGTG